ACTGAATTTTCAAAATTTTAAATTTTTTGTTTTTTNTTTTGAAAATTTTAATTCATGGAAAAAGTGTGTCAAATTTCACTTGAGTTCGAAATTATAGCTGTGTGCTAAGCTCAAAGTATTGTGTTATTTAAGTAGGCCTGTCAGTTTTTCGAATTCACTGAATTTTCAAAATTTTAAATTTTTTGTTTTTTTTATATTTTCGAATTTGTATTATTTTACACAGTTGAAAGTCACAGCAAGTTTGAGTATTTTCACAGGTTCAGAAAACAACGAAAATTCCAAAATTTTGAATTTTATATTATTATTAAATTTCTTGAGATTTCTTATTTTTAGGATAATTTCAAAAACTATCGAAACCCGGGAGATTCTAGAAGTTTTGGTAAAATGAGAATATTTTGAAATGTACAAAATTATTGAGATTTTAGAAATGTTTTTATTTTCCAAATTTTTCAGAATTTTATTTATCCTAAAATCCATCCTAAAATGTAAAACTGCGAAACATCACAAATTGTCGAAAAATTCTTATGTTCATGTACTCGTTTGCAAAAAATATAAAATTCTTAGAAATCTAAAAGATATTAACATTTTTGAAAAATTCCAAGATTATTCCATGAACATTTTAAAAATTTTGTATTGACATAACAAAGTTTGAGAATTTTAAATTTTGAAAACATCAACGTCCAAATATTTTGAATCTTCAAGAATTACGAAAATTTTTTTAAATTTTCAAAAACGACGAAATATGAAAATGTTTTCAGCATTCCAAAACTTTTAATTTCGTTTGATCAATTTTGTATATTCGACACTTTTACTTAGAAAAAATTTGTTAGAATTCCTACAATTCTCAAATTTTTGAAAAATGGAAATTTATGGAAATCTAGTATTCATCATTATATTGAATTAATTGAGTTATTGGGATTTACTAAAATTTCTCAAATTCACAAAGTTTTGAAAGTTTAGAAAATTTTTGAATTCCACTCAAGTTATTAAAAAGGGGAAACTTCAAGAAATTAAAAACTATCAAAACTCTAAAAATTTTAAATTGCGGTGATTTTTAAATTTATATACACGATATATGTTGAAAAATGCCCCCCCCCCACCCCCCAAGAAATGTTGCCGTGTCCGCCCCTGCAAAAATTATGTATGCGTATGTAATACGGCTTTTGATAAACAGATGGCACGCTATTTATAGCCTTTTAGTGTTTACGCTTATTTCAGATATTTATTTAAACACTTATTATTACCCTTACAATCAAATAAAGGAAAATTACAAAGTTCAAAATGTCTTGCTTCTAGCGCTCCGAAAACATCGACGACGACCAGTCTCTAAAACCCCAGTTGACAGCTGCTGAGTATATCTATCAAACATAGATGGCTGGCAGTGCTGCCACAGTACTCCCCTTCCAGTGACGAAGTCACTATTCGTTATGAAATCGTACACGATGTGCCCTTTCGTACGTTCGTGGAGCTTGCGAGGTCGCCCCTTCTCATTGGGGCTCATTAGGTCTGTCCAAATCTTCAAAAAATTCGTTGGGAAGTCTTATTGGACCACCATATAATATTTCAGCCGTAGATGCTCCTAAGTCATCTTTGTAACATGTTCGTAGACCTAGTAGGATAGGCGGCAGTAAATCTATCCACGGGGTAGTAGGATTACACATCAACGCAAATTTGAAGACCGGTGCCAGCGCTCTATCATTCCGTTGGATTTGGGATGATAAGCGGTTGTGTGTATATGTTGACAGCCGACAATGTTAGTCAGTGCCTTGAACATAGCTGACTGAAATTGTGATCCTTGATCAGTCGTTATGGTCTTAGGGCAACCGAATCTGGAAACCCAGTGTGTCCAGAATACTTTGACTACGGTCATCGCAGATATGTCCTGAAGTGGAACGGCCTCTGGCCAGCGCGAAAACCTGTCGATCATTGTCAAACAATACCGGTAATTGTTTACTAGAGACATTATAACAATGTCAATGTGGACATGATCAAATCTGTTGTTTGGCATGTTGATTTTATCTGGAATAAAGGAGTTGTGTCTATGTATTTTAGCCCGCTGGCAGGGTAAACATGATTTTGCTCAAAGAGTGACATCCTGCCGCATCGATGGCCAGACATACTTCTGCCGTAGCTTCTCCAGTGTAGCTCTACCACTAGGATGTGATACTCCGTGCACCGAGGCAAAAACTTTGTATCGGAGTTCTTCGGGTACATAAGGACGTACGTGTCCGGTGGAGACATCGCAATGAACACTTTTGTCATCGAATTGTATATTTTGCAATTTGAGTGATGTACTTCCCTGTAGAAGCGTAGGCAGCTCCCCATCCTTGGCTTGTGCTTTACTAAGTTCTGAAAAGTTTATGCTAGAAGGCATCGAAATAGCATTCAAACGGGACAACGCGTCAGCTACAATATTGGTGCTGCCCGATACGTGTACAATTGAGGTCGAAAACTGGGATATAAAGTCCAAGTGTCGCAATTGGCGAGGAGATGCTTTTTCGGGTTTCTGTGTGAAAGCATGAATAAGCAGTTTATGATCCGTCTTGATCACGAAAACAAGTGCTTCCAACATGTGTTTGAAGTATCGTATGGCGTCATATACAGCCAGAAGCTCTCGATCGTATGTGCTGTAATTTTTTTCGGTGTTGTTCAACTTTAGTGAGAAAAATGCCAACGGTTGCCAAACGTCGTTGACGAATTGCTCCAATGCCGCGCCGATTGCTGTGTCAGATGCGTCGCATACCAATGCCAGCTTAGCGTCTGGTGCAGGATGTGCAAGCAACGTAGCGTTAGCCAAACTACGTTAGCAATCCTCAAAAACCTGAAGTGTTTCCGGAGTCCAGTCGATTTTTCGTTTGTCATTCTTTCGCATGTGGCGTGTGTACTTATTAAGCTGAGACTGAAGCTCGGAAGCGTGAGGAATACATCGTCGATAGTAGTTAATGAAACCGAGGAATCGACCAAGCTCACAGACTGTGTCACTGGGTGGACGTAGTCCGTCTTTGTTAGTGACGTAACCCAGGAATACTACCTCTTCTTTCCCAAATTGACACTTATTGGCGTTGATGGTTAAACCATGACGCCGTAAAATTAAAAAAAAATTTCGGAGATATTCTTCGTGTTCGTCAGCCGATTTGGACATGACGAGAATCTGTCATCTATGTATATGTAAACAAAATCGACTTCCTGAAAAATGCTGTCCATAAACCTTTGAAATGTCTGCGTCGGTTCTTCAGACCAAAAGGCATGTACAAGAATTCGAACAGCCCAAATGGGGTACACACCGCAGTTTTTTCGATATCGCACTCAGCCATAGGAATTTGGTAGTATGCACGGACCAAATCTATTGTTGAAAAAATTCGCTTACAATGGAGTTTCTCGGAGAAATCGTGGATATGGGCAATAAGGTAACGATCAGGTATTGTGATAGCGTTTAATTTGCGATAATCCCCGCGAGCGCGCCAACCCCCTGTTTTTTCCCCACCATATGCAGTGGGCTAGCCCACGGACTTTTTGGTTGGCGACAAATACCCTGTTCGAGGAGAAAGTTTATTTCAAGCTTGGCGCTAGAAAGTTTATCCCCAGCTAGATGTCGCGCTCTATCGGCAACAGGATTACCTTTTGTATCAATATGGTGTAAGACATTGTGACAACGTAAGCTATTACTTGACTTATTTGTTTCTTTTGTAATATCTATGAAATCTGTAAATAAACTTCTAAAGTCGTTGGCCTCGGTTATTGTCGAAACTGCGAATTCAGTAGTGTCCAACAATTTACCTCTTGTTGTTAGACCGGTGGCCTTGTCGATGAGGCGCTGCTGGCTCAAGTCAATCATTAAATTATATTGAGTTAAAAAATCAGCGCCGATTATGGCTATGTGTGTATCGGCTACAATAAAAGACCAATTGAATGCTCGACGCAACCCTAAATCTAGTTGAAGTACGTGGTGGCCGTATCTCTGAATGACTGTCTCATTTGCAGCATATAGCTGGAGCGCCTTTTGTTTCAAAGAAATACCCAAGAAGTTGCGAGGTATCACCGAAACTACCGAGCCCGAATCCAGGAGAAACTGGAACCGATTATGGCGGTGATAGACATACAAACGTGTTTCATGTAGCGAATTTTTGCGTTGGCTGGGTTTGTAACTGGATTTTTTATTGCTGCTACCATCCAGCGAAACTGGCAGCAGCCGCTCTAGTTTAATGACTTCGAGTACGAACAATTTAGTCGACAATTGTGCGCCTTATCGCCAAATTTAGAATGAAAGTAGCACAAGTGATTGTCTGGCTTGTTGCCAACACCGGATGCCTTGCGCCCGGGAGAACGACTTTTGGATGTTGCTCTCGAAACCGGATTCAGTTTTAAAACCTTAATCTCACCTTGAAGCTGCTTCACAGTATCAGAGAGTACCTTGAGACTGGCAGCGATTTCAGCTAATGATGTGCTATCCTTTGAAATGGAACTAACTGTGGGTGTTGGATGACTTGGTGATTTTTCCTGTGACTCCAACACGTAGATTGAATTTGAGTTAACCGCTTCCAACATTTTATCAGAAATTTTCGCCAGTTGATCGAGGCTGTCCTCTTTCCAAACTGTTAGTAATGGTCCGACAGAATCAGGCATCTGTCCGAAAAACAGCGTTCGTATTACTGCTGCACTTCCTAGGTCTGGAGCAAGAAGTCTCATGTGTGATAATACTTCTGATGGTTTCATACCAGCAGTACCTCCACCTTGCAATAATCGTCGTAATTTACTTTCTGCTGATTCCGAGAACTTCGCCAACAACCTGCCTTTAAGAATATGGTAGCGATTTTCAGCAGGAGGTTGTGTGACAAGATCTTCTACCGTGAGAAAAATATCATGCTCCAGATGTATAGCGACCCAGTCGAACTTATCTGTGTCAGATGTGACGTCACTAAGCCGGAAACCTCGTTCTAGTTGACCGAACCATAGCTGTGGATTTTGCTTGTTGAAATTTGGAAAATGCATGCGTTGCCAATTTGGACGAGAATTGACTGGGATGCAAGCATTTTGCAGTACTTCGATGCTATTCTGCACTGTCTGCAGCTGTTGTTTCACCTCTTCGTTCAATTGTGTCATTTCACTGTCGTGGAATAAATCCTCCTCACTGGAGTCTAGATTTGCTGTGCTACGTAGTTTGTACCGACCGCTCGGCATAACCCCTCTTACCAAGCCAAACGATGATTATGGGCTGTTGTGAAATTCAACGAAATTGTGAGCGTCGTCAATTTTCCGGAATGTTCTGAGAATTCGCTAGCAGTAGTGTAGTGCGTGCGCTTTCGCTAGATCGAAACACACAAGCAACCGTATCAACTCCCAAATTTCCTCTCGTTGTAATCGGGGTCACCACTTTAGTGTTTACGCTTATTTCAGATATTTATTTAAACACTTATTATTACTCATACAATCAAATAAAGGAAAATTACAAAGTTCAAAATGTCTTGTTTCTAGCGCTCCGAAAATATCGACGACGACCAGTCTCTAAAACCCCAGTTGACAGCTGCTGAGTGTATCTATCAAACATAAGGGGTATTCTCCAAATCTTGCAAAGCCATTGCACGTAGCACGGATTGCATGGATTGCATAACTTGCAAACACACAACAACAAAATACATGGGAAACGACATTTCCTATCGCTGCAAAATATGCAACGTCGAAACCCATGTATATATTTTGCAAAATAGCATAGCAAGATATATGCGACCCTGTGCTAGTTGTTTTGTTGTTGGAATTGCTACATATTTCTCTCATTCCTCTCATCTCGCTCACTTCATTTTTTTCTGCTGTCTCTTGTTATTGTATTTGATACATAATTTCGCTGCTTGCTACCCATGCATTCTACCACTTTGCAATGGGGTGCTCTCGTACTCTTCGAAATTTGGGATAGTATTTTTGCATTTCGTGCAATACGTGCATCGTGCAATACTTCGAGAATACCCCTATAGATGGCTGGCAGTGCTGCCGCAACCTAATCGCAGCGTATGTACATACATACATATGTAAATAAATATATACGTACATAGGTTGATTGCAGTTAATGTGGATCTGTTTCTATTTTTTAGTAATCTATGTATGTCTATACATATTATATATGTACATACACATATGTATGAACACATGTATGCATAATACGCGGAAACTTTTTGAAGTGAAACAACACTTAGAAAAAGACCAGAAGAGAAAGTAAAAATAAAAACAAAAACAAAGTTGCGAAAAGATAAAGGCAAAAATGAAGACCAAGGTAAATTTAAACACTTTACTTATATAAGGGCAAGGGTGAAGGGGAATATGTATATGAAGAATATGATAAACATTAAAGTAAAAACAAAGATAAATATAAAGAAAAAGATGAGGATACCGATAAAAGTATAGATGAAGATAGTGGAAGAAAGATTAAAATGAAGGTAGTTTTAGAGAAAAGGATATAGACAGAGGCACAGAGACTCAATCTGGGAACTATTTCGGCATTTTAGAGATTTTCGGGATTCTCGGGACTTATCGATATAGTTAAATTTCTGCTGAAACTAGAACGAGATGTTTCTGGATTTCATTTATTTTAATTCTAAGTTACAAGAAAAATGTGCCAGCTCAAAAAGCGAAGGAGAAGGTAAGAAGAAAATAGTGATCAAGTGACAGTATAACTAGTGTTACCAAATCCAAGTAAATTGCTATTAAAATTTTGCATGGTAGTATTTGCAAAATCAATAAATTCCTACATTCCCCTTCACGTAATTTAAAAATATTTTTCTCAAAATTCATTTAGTGGTAGTTAGTACTTTTAATTATAACTTGAAGGATCAAGTCGGACAGTCTTTGCTCTAATTCGTTCCAACCGACGAAGTGGGGTGCCCCCTGGTTTTATTTAGGTACTTTGCTCTGGCTGTTGATCCACGCGTTGATGATTGGTAGAACTTTCGTTTTCACTACTTGAAATTTCGCCCTCTGCTTACAGGTCAATGTCAACCGGATCGCTTTCTCCCAATCTTCTCCTCCTAAGCCCTTATTTGGTCTTGGTGGCGCCTATATGTCACACCTCCAGATTCGATAACGTACATTCGGCTACCCTGCATTTTGATAATCTTCCCCTGGATCCAACGGGTTGTACCAGAGTACGAGCGAATCCAAACTGTATTTTCTATGGCGAATTTACTCATTGTTGCATGTGGAGTTGTTGAGGTAGGAATCAATGCGGATAAGATGGTTCGCGGCTGTCGACCATGCAACATTTCCGCAGGAGATTTACTATTTCTAGGATTCGGTGTACTTCGATATGTAGCCAGATACTTATACAATGCTCTTTCAGCGTCGCCTTCTTCCATCATAATATTTTTAAATGCTTGCTTAAATGTGCGTACATACCTTTCCGCCAATCCATTTGATGAAGGATGGAAGGGTGCTATGGTAAGATGATCAATGCTATTGTTCTTACAAAACTGTTTGAATTCCGATGATGTGAACTGTGCTCCATTATCAGTGATGATAGTATTCGGCAGGCCTTCCACCGACAGAATTCGCAGGAGTGCTGCTATGGTGATCTTCGTAGTTGCTGCTGATAGTTTCACGGTATATGGAAAATTGGAATATGCGTCGACGATAATAAGCCACATGTGATTGTAAAATGGACCTGCAAAGTCCAAATGTATCCTCTCCCAAGGTTTTGTGGGCTGAGGCCAAGGGGAAAATTCCCGCTTTGGATGACTTGCATTGGCTTGGCAAATACTACACTCATTATGCAACTTGTCTATTTCCGCGTCTATACCTGGAAACCACACGTATCGTCTTGCCATTTGTTTCATACGACCTTTGCCCCAGTGCCCATCGTGTAGCATAGCAAGTACTTTCCTATATGTAGCAGCAGGTAATACAACTCTTGTATAATCTATTTGAACCATTACTACTCCCTTGTGCACTGATAAACAAAGTTTCCGCTTATAAAATTCATCGAGTTCAGCTTGGTTTGGCAAGTTCTCAGGCCAACCTTCTAGTATATATTTCTTAACTAGCTTAAGGGTACTGTCTTCCTCGGTAACCTTTTTCAAGAGTTCTGCGTTCAGAGTTGAATCTTCAAGTGCTGCCTGATATACAGCATCTACCCCGAGTAAGTTGCTTTCTTTTTCATCGAAATCGTGGTCATCTCCAACTGGCAACCTGGAGAGAGCGTCTGCCGTAGCGTTGTCCTCCGACTTTTTGAAGTGAATGGTGTAGTCGTACGCTTGAAGTACTATGGCCCAGCGTTGAAGTCGGTGAAGCACCATAACGGGTAGCCTTTTTGACGGATTAAAAAGTGTAGTAAGTGCTTGATGGTTTGTAATGAGCTCAAAATGCCGACCGTAAAGATAGTCGTGACTGTGACACCGTATATGATGGCCAAAGCTTCCTTTTCAGTTTGAGAGTAGCGTGCTTGGCTGCTGTTGACGGTTTTAGAGGCATGCGCGATAGGCCTTACCATTCCGTCTGAAGCATCAACTGCTAAAATAATAGGCAGTCTATCATCGTAATGAACAAGTTGTGCGGTAGCTATGATAGCATTTTTTAATTTCTAGAACGAATTTTCTTCCAGTCGCACCCATCTATATTCAACATTTTTACGTCTAAGTTTGTTTAAAGGCGCTGCAAGAGATGAAAAGTTACTGATGGACTTGTTGTAATAATTTACCTTGCCGATAAAAGATTCGATTTCTTTGATATTTTTCGGCGCAGGCATGCGTTTAATTGCTTCGACTCGCTTTTCTGATGGCATCACTCCTGTAGCGTTGATAATATGCCCGACGTACTCGACTTGCTTTTCCGCAAAATTACACTTTTCCACCTTGCATGTAAGACCGTGAAAGCTTAAACGCTTAAAAATTTCTTCCACATTATGGATGTGCTCGTCGTTATCTTGACCGGTGACGATAATGTCATCCAAATAAACGGCACAATGCGGAACACCAGCGATGTCTTCTTCCATAAAACGTTGGAAAATTCCAGGAGCACTAGCCATTCCGAAAGGCATGCGCTGAAATTGAAATAATCCAAATGGAGTATTGATAACCGCGAATTTTTTCGCCTCGTCGGTTAAATTGACTTGCAAATACGCGTCGCTTAGATCGATTTTTGTGAAATATTTACCACCTTGTAGCTTATGGAACAACTCCTCTATTCTGGGTATCGGGTACCGGTCTATTTGGATTTGGGAATTCAAAGCGACTTAGAAATCAGCACAAATTCGAAATTTACCATTTGGCTTTCGCTCAACTACGATTGGCGCTGCCCATTCACTCACGCTTATAGGTTTCAACACTTCAGCTTTAACAAGTCGCGCAATTTCAGCTTTCACATCAGCGTGAAGAGCAAATGGTAAATTGTAAGGCTTAAAGAATTTTGGTTTTGCATTAGGCTGAAGAGTGATATTTGCCTTAAACGTTTTGCAGTTTCCCAGTTTTGATAAGAATATTTCCGGGTGCTGGTTAACACACTGCCTAAGATAAACGCGCAAATTTAGCTGAGATGCCTCTTCCGTGAAAGAACAATTCTTACACACGTTACCAGAAATTTCGTTATCTTGCAAGTCTAGCTGAAATTTCAGCATTTTGAACCAGTCTAGCCCAAGAATATTGGTTGCGCGTTCAGATTATAACAAGCAGCGGTAAGGATTTGATCGTATATCTCCATTTAGCTTTAACATTAGTTGTTCCTAAAAGAGGTAAAACGTTCCCCCCGTACGCCTTCAGAATTTTGTTAGTGGGTTCACATCTCGGTTCGCCCAATATACGGTATGTAGGGAGGCCTATGATCGAGCACGTTGCACCTGCGTCTACTTGAAATTCAAACGTTCTGTCATTGATGTCTCTATTTATTAGAATTTTATCAGCAGCCGTATTTGTTAACGATACCTCGGCGACGCCTATACTCTCAAAAAGCGCATTACTCACGACGTTCACATTGTCTGCATTCTCTTTTTTTCGACTTGGGGAGGTTGATCGTGCTGAAGAATGCGATAAACATACTGAAG